GTTTAAAAAAAGAATCGTGATTATGATTTTTTTCCATAATCGAGCAGCCCTAATGTAGCACAATCAATGTGAGCAGACGACCTCTGTGTGATGACACAGAGGTCGTTCTAAATGCAGGTGAGGTATAAACATTACTGATACTAATTTGTCTCAGCTAGATGTAGACCCAAACTGTGTGTTTAGTGTTTTTTTTGTGTGAATCTTACCTCACAACGGAAGGGCTTCTCTCCAGAGTGCTGGAGCGAGTGAACTTTTAAAGACATGCTGCGTTTGAACGACTTCCCACACGTCTCACAGGTAAATGGCATGTCTTTAGTGTGAGCTGGGTTTGGGGAGGAGAAGGATGAAAGAGAGGAAATCAATACTGAGACTGAACTCAGGTAATATATCGTATATAATATCAGAAGAACTGTGTATGAAGAGAGAATACTACACTAGTTTATTAATCAGATAAACTATAAATTCATCACCAACTGTTTTGATAATCGATAAAACTTTGCAAAAAGTCAAAATTCTCTGATTTCAGCTTCTCAAACGTGAATATTTTCTGATTTCTTTCTCTGTGAGTAAACTGATTTGAGGACGTCACTTTGCGCTTTGGGAAACTTGATTGACTAATCAAGAAAATTGATAGATTAATATCTGTTAGTTGCAGCCATAGACACAATGTTAACTCTATTAACCCTCAAGTGACAAACTGTGGCAACTAAAACTATTGTTAAGTAAAATAAAATATGTATCTGAGTCTACAAACAAAAGAAAGCTGAAGCAGAAAACAAACGTTATTATTATTATTATTACTGCTGTCTGAGAGTCGTGTGGTGGTTCACAACAGGCCTCCACTTACCAACCATGTGCTTACGGACATGAGCCATAGTGTAGAACTTCTTCTCACAGATTTCACATGAGAACTTCTTTTCTGCGTAGCCGTGCACGATCTTAATGTGCTCGTGCAGCGACCACAGCTTCTTAAAGGACTTGTTGCAGGAAACACACTGAAAAAGGACACACAAGTAGAAACAAAACGCATTGAGATTAAGCTCCTTACTGATAAATATCATGAGAAACTAAAACCTGATGAGAAAATAGTTTCATTATACTCTAGCGCCCTCTGCTGGGGAAAAATCACAGGTCTAAAAATCCTGAATTCCCTCTTACAGAAGAATATTTCATCAAGGCTAAGTCAGCTTGTTTATGTGACTCCTGATTAAATAATAACACTTGTGAAGTATTGGACCTGTTGGAACAGTTATTCACGTTGGATGTAACTAGACGCAGATAAAATGCATAAATTACAGAACTGTTTATTACACAAGTATTCAAATTACAGCTCTAAGTTTGTGTGGATCAATCAGTATCAGCTTTGCACATCTGGGCGCTCATCTGGATTCAGGACTACACTACAAAGCATCAGCATTGTTGTTTTTCTGTGTTGTCGTCTTGCTGGAAATGGATCCAGGCAGTTCTCTTGGAGGCGTCACAGTATCTCACCGCCACAAACGTATAAAACACCAGAAACCAAAGCGTTTAATATGATGGCCAGGAAGCTTAAGTTTGGTCTCATCGTATCAAAGAGACTTCCACTTTGTTTTATGTCTTCCACAATGCCTTCTGGCAAACGCTAGCCAAGCGGTCATGTGAGCTTTTTTTTTTTTTCTAACAGTGTCTTTTTTCTTTTCCACCGCCTAAAACTGTTGAAGTGTCGGAGAAACAGTCGTGTGTACGTACGCTGTCTCCTATATGAACCCTGGAGCTCTCAGAGGTTTTATCACACAGACTCGTTACAGACAGATTTACACTGTGCCGTCGTTTCTCTAAACCAGTTTTTCACCGCAGAGATTTCTATCCTTCAATACTTCTTTTCTAATTCTTTTTGTGAATCAAACAATCAGAGTAAAAGACTGACTGCTTCTGAAGCTTCATACTTTGT